ATAGGTCTGTGTCTAAGGTCCCTGATATCAAAAGGGAAACTTTAAAAATAATGAAGGGATTTATTTAAGGATATGGAGAGAACAAAAGAACTCAAGAATCTGAATGTGGAGGAGTCTTGGAATTATTTTAATTCAAAGTTTCAAAAACTATTTGAAGCCTTCATCCCAACAAAAGGGAAAAATTGTAGGGATGCGTGTCAGACCAAATTAGAAGAACAAGATCTAAAATAAACTATTAATAGACAGCAAAAAGCTTACAAGGATGGACAAAGGGATGGATTGACAAGGAAAGCTACCTCTTGGAAGTCAGAAAATGTAGGGTAAGTGAGAAATGCAAAAGGTCAAATAGAATTGGATCTTGGAAAGGAAATGAAAAAAAAATAGTAAAAGGTTCTTTGACCATATTAATAAAAAGAAAACCAGAAAATAAGAAGTGGAACTGCTAAACACTGAGGATGGAGTGGAGATTAAAGAAAATCTAGGTATGGTCCAGCACTATATAAATACTTTTGCCTCCATTTTTAATAAGGATCTCAGGGGCAATAGCAGGGTGGCTAATGGGAGGTAGCTATGGAAGTAGAAATTACCACATCAGAAGTTGAAGACAATCTTAAGAAGTTTAACAGAAACAAATGAGAAGGCCTAGATAATCTCCATTCAGTCTTCTCCCATATTAAAAGGTACTGGACCCTTAACATTGCAAACCCCAAAGCAAGGATTTTTATTGAACCCATAAACTCAGTTGTACCCTATGAGTAAAGAACTGCAAATACAGTACCTATATTTAAGAAAAGAAAAAAAATCTGTGAAACTCTAGGCCTGTAACTTTGACTTCAATTGTATGCAAACTCTTAAGATAGATTTCACAAGAGAGAGTAGTTAAGAACACAGAGGTAAAAAAACAATTGGGATAATATATATAACATGGTTTTACAAAAAGTAGGTCATGCCACACCAACCTGGTCTCTTTCTTTTTTCTAGACAAAGGAAATGCAGAAGATCTAGTCTACCTGGATTTCAGGAAAGCATTTGATAAATGTCCACATGGGAATTAATTAGTAAAATTGTAGAAGATAGGCATTAATACAAGAATGGAAAAGTGGCTAAAGAACAGACTACAACATATTATGCTGAAAGATGAACTATCAAGCTGAAGGGACATTACTAATGGAACTACTCAAGGATTGATTAATATTTTGTGTCAATGTAATTAATGAAAAAGTGGGAGTAAAATTTGCAGATGACAAAGTTGGAAGATGTAGAGGAGGACCAGAATATCATAAAAGAAGATTTGGAGGACCTTGAAAACTGAAATATCAATGAGATTAAATTTAATAGTGTGAAATACAGGGTCATACACTTAAGGACTAAGAAGAATCTTTAATGTAAGATGAGGACATATCAGTTGGCAGTATCAGAGGAGGAGAAAGATTTGGGTATATTGGTTGACGCAGCTGTGGAAAAAGCTAATGCAATCCTATGATGAATCAAGTGAAGTATTTCAATAGAAATAAGAAAGTATTATTACCATTGTCCAAATCCTTCGTGAGACCTCATCTGGAATACTGTGTGCAATTCTGGTCTCCCATGTTTAAGAAAGATGAATTCAAACTGGAACAGGTGCAGAGAAGGGCTGCTATGATGACTAAAGCAATGGAAACTGCCTTACAAGAACAAACTTAAGGAGCTTGGCTTGTTTAGCCTAACAGCATGACCGCTGAGAGGAGATGTATTTGCTCTCTATACATATATTGGAGGAATAAACACCAGAGAGGGACAGAAGTTACTTACATTAAGGGCAAATGTCACAAAAAATGGATATAAACTAGACATCCGTTACTTTAAGACATCCAAAATTAGACTAAGTTCTAAACTTCAGAACAGCCTTCCAAGTGAAGCAGTGGGGACAAAAAATATCTTGTTTTAAGACTGAGTTTGATAAGTATATGGATGGATGGTATGAGATTGCTGCAATGGCATGTAGACCATCCACAAATGCCATTAGCAAATACGCCCAATAGCCAGAGATGGAACACTAGAGAAGGAGGGCTCTGAATTACTCAGAGAATTAATTTCCTGGTGTCTGGGTGAAGGCTATCATGCATATTCTCAGAGTGCACATGGGTAAGATTGAGAAAGAACTGGAAAGGAATTTTCCCCCAATCAGACTGGGAGGATAATCTTCCTTTGTAGCATGAGGCATGGATCACTTTCTGGCTTAAAACTAGAGTAAATTGGGGATTCTCTGTAATTAGGGGTTCAATGTTAGCATTTTATTTGTATTAAATATATATTATTATAATGTTACGAACGGTGTAGATCAAGTTTGGATGTTGATAAAATGAAAATCAGCGGCATGGGATAAACAAACATGGAATCTATGAGCTATGACACCTGTGCTTCATTTTGAGAGCTATTTTCACCTCAGCAGCAGATGCTGGTTTAAACCGGCGACTATTCTTTACCGGGTTCTGGCCAAGGGAGGTATAGATTTAGGCCTGGGCTTCAATCCTGGTTTTTCCCACCTCTAGAGGCCTGGGACATTCCATTGGTTTCCCTCCAACAGCACTCTGAATTCCATTTATCTCAGACTGATTGAATGGGACATTCCAGCTTTCATGCCTAACAGTCTATAAAAGGCTGTGTTCAAGTCATGGGCTGTGCTGTCTGCCCAAATGGCAGCCGGTGTGTGTCTCAAGTCTCCTCGTGCTTCCGGGCAGATGGAAGACAGCACCATCTACCCTGTGATGACTACAGAAGCCCTTCAATACTCACCTCATCCTACTGTTCTACCATCAAGGGGCTTAACTCCATGGTCATGTCATCTCCATTAGACTTCTCAGAGTTCCTCTTTGATGGCTGTTGGTAGCCTGGTAATTGAGGTCCTGAGCATCGTCAGCATACACTGATCCAGCACCTAAATATAAATAGGAAAAACTATTCTTTGTCGGATTCTGGCCAAAGGAAGAATAGATTTGGGCTTGGATTTCAATGGCCTCACCCTCCTCCAGTGTCACTGTTTTACTGTTGTTAGTTAACTGGCTATTGTAGGAGCTACTGATTATTTTGTGTGTTCCCCTCCCCGAATCCCTTTTATTGTATCTTATCCCTCAATACGTACTTCCTTGTTTTTCACCATACTTACTTGTTTCCTCTAGTTCACATTGCACCACATTACACTAGGGTCTAGTCCAGTGGGGTGACTAAATACCAGATAAGTGGGTAGTATCTGCACTTCTGAGAAAGGGGTTACACATTCTTTAGCTTTCTCATTTTCCCATCCCTCTGATTATTTCTGCATGTTTCCTTTCTTCCCCTTGTAGGCAACATCAGTAACTCAATAAGAGGTTCTGTGCCTATCGTAGGAGTTGGTGGGTGAGATTCTGTGATCTGCAAGATCAGAGTAAGTGAGCATAATGCTCCATTCTGGCCTTCAAGTCAATGGCTGCGTCTAGACTGGCAAGTTTTTCTGCAAAAGCAATTGCTTTTGCAGAAAAACTTGCCAGCTGTCTACACTGGCTGCTTGAATTTCCGCAAGAACACTGACGATCTCATCAGTGTTGCAGAAATACTATGCTGCTCCCGTTCGGGCAAAAGTCCTTTTGCACAAAAGCTTTTGCGCAAAAGGGGCAGTGTAGACAGCTCAGATTTGTTTTGCGCAAAAAAGCCCCCATCACGAAAACGGCGATCAGGGCTTTTTTGCGCAAAAGCACATCAGATTGGCACGGACGCTTTTCCGCAAAAAGTGCTTTTGCGGAAAAGCGTCCGTGCCAATCTAGACACTCTTTTCCACAAATGCTTTTAACGGAAAACTTTTCTGTTAAAAGCATTTGCAGAAAATCATGCCAGTCTAGACGTAGCGTATGAGTAATAGACATTCTCAGGGTAAGAGAATTAAATATATGCATGACATGTATGATGAGCCTTCATGATCTTAGGGCTAACACAAAAGAATCTGGTAATACTAGTTCTATTTGTGGCTTAATTTGGAACATAATTTGTCGGTGCCTCCATTTCCCCATCTGTAAAATGGTAATAATACTTTCCTACCTCAGCATAATTCACTTAAGTTTATGAACTGATTTGAGATCTTCTTACAGAAACAATTATATTATGTGAAATATCTAATTTGTTTACAGTTTTAAAATGTTTGGGCAGGAGCAGTGTATTCTAAGAAACTCCTGTTTTGTCCTATAGCATGGGTGGGAAACCTCAGGCCTGAAAGCCAGATGTGACCCCTGGCTTGCCTGAATCCAGCACTGGAGAGCCATCACTGATGC